TTTATAATTTTTTACTTTCATTTCATTTTAGTAACTATTTTTTTTTTTAAATTTTAAAAACACAAGTTTCGTTTTAATTCAATTACAATATAATTTTTAAAAATTATATTTTTATAGATATCACATTAACAATGTGATAAAATGGATAAAATAATTGAATATAATCATGATATAATATCAAAAATGGGAAGAAAAGACATTTGATATATCAATGAACATTCTGTATGGTCAGTAAAAATTATTCAAGTATGAAATTTTTTTGTAATTTTTTTATTAAATATTAAATAACTAATCCTAATTTTTATTTATATAAAATTGCAAAATTAGATTCTAATAAATTTTGAAGCATTTCAAGTTATTGACAGTTGGCAATAAAAACATTACACAGTCTTATAGAAGCTGCAATAGACATTTATATAGATTCTGTTAAAAAGAATCAATCATCAGCGAAAGATCGATGGCAAGTCAATTTTATTAGCAAACAAATTCAAGAATTAAATTTTATAGATGAAAAACATCAGATATGACTGGTTGAATTGAACATAGTAATTTACAAAAGTTATTAAATCATTTAACAACGTATAATGAATTGTTTTTATTTAACAATGGACAGATAGAGAAAAAATGTTTTTAAAAATTAAAACTACAATTATTTAGACATCAAATTTCTTGGGTGTCTAAGATTGTATAATATTAAAAATTGTGATTGCCGCAAATATTTTAAAAAGTATTGTTTTTTTGCGATATTCTATTTTACGACCAATTTTTAATTAAACAAAAAACAGATATTTTCAAAATCAATACATTGTATAGGTAGGTATTTAATAAATAAGTAACAAATATTATTTAAATAATTATTATATTAAACTATTTTCCTAGTTTACTTTGTTTTATCGCTATAATATTATTTCAAATTGTTCTGTTTTAATTTACTTGGATACTAAAACAAATTGAAAAAATTATTATTGCAAATTAACTTTACAATAATAAATTTGATAATTAGAAAGAATATACTGTATTAAACTTTGCCTCATTGTTAAAATATTATTTCAAATTGTCGTGTTTAAATTTATTCGAATATTAGAACGAAAAAATGCAAATATATATTAATAATTATCAATCACATCAAATATTAGTACAAATTGTAAAAATTATTATCGTATATTAATTTTATATAAAGAAATGAATTGAACTGAAAAGTTTTCTAAATATGAAAATTTTTTCGTAGAAAATGAATTGAAAAGTTTCCTAAATATTAAAATTATTTATAATCTTTATTTACTCGAGAAATTTTTGATCTGAGAATAATTAATATCTTAAAAAAATCATTTTAAAATTATTACGTGCAGAAATGTCTTGCTTTAGATAAATTGAAAGAAAAATTGGAAACACTTAAATAAACTGTAACGTAAAAATAAAAACCTTTTCAAAACAATTTCAGTGTTATATTATTTTAAACTGACATGTACCCGAATATTAAGACAAATATTTATCAAGAAAATAATTAATTTTAGTATTGATAATAAAGCAATTACTAGACAAATCATTTGAAATCTTAATTTATAAAATATCAGAAATTAGACTAGGAATATGTCATGTTTTAGATAAAGTGAATGAAAAAACTGGAAAAGCTTAAATAATATAAAACTTATTTGATCTATTCGTATAAAAAATTCGTTTTGGTGTTATATTATTTCACACAATTATTGTAATTTAATTTTTTCTATATTAAAACATTTAATTCTTTCATATTTTAAAAATTTAATTGAATATTCTGAACATTCGGATTATTTCCTTTGAGTAAAAATTACTTTTGTGATTAGAAGAATTAATTTTGTGATTAGTGCCACTCAAATTTATCTAGGAAATTCATTGAAAAATTAATTTTGTGATCTGAAATAATTTCATTCAACAAATTTTTATTTTTAATTTTAAAAATTATTTGTAATTTTAATTTAATCGACATCTAAAATTAATTTTGTTATCAATGCTACTCAAATCACTACTACTTAACTGAATAACACTACAGAATACTGGTAGTTAGTATAGGGATGACACTCGACCGATTAGTTGGACTCGTGGAGTTTTACCGAATTTTATTTACGTGTGTAAATAATTATATACGTGTGTTCTAAAATCGAAAGAGTTTTATCACAGAAAGTCATTTCAGAAAGCATGGTATGTTTACAAATTACTCTTGTGTTACTTTTCCTTATGATGTGAATTCATTTCAAAAAACTATTTTTTTTATACGGATCTTGCTTGTTTCGAGAAGAATTTCAAACTTCCTTGCATAAATGCAAAAATTTTTGTATATTTTGTTCACAGGTTTTTGTAACGCTACATACTTTTCATAAATTTTTAAACTGTCATAATATTACAAAATACTGGATGCATTCTATCTCCTGTCTTGCTTTCCTTTGGAGTAAAAGTGAGTAGCAATACATTTTTCTATACCAGGTGTGGCCAATAAGTTACGCCCTCGCGCCGAATTGGAAAGAAAACTTTTTTCATGGGCCAAACCAGAGGCTGCCCTAGGAAGATTTTGAGGTGGTGCAAGATCTTATTGTGGTGTTACTCTGTAGAGACAAAATTATACATAGAGATTACACATACATTTTTTACATTATCATGCTTTATCAACATTTTACGCTGTACTTAAGAGATTTGTAACGGATGGTTAACTGTAAACGCACAGTGAGTTGTTGACCCATTTTTTTAGGCGTCAGAATTTTTCATCGAGCTATTCGGACTTCAGATATATTCATTACACGGGCCGTATGTTGGCTATGCCTGCTTTATAGCCAGGAACAGTAAAATCGAATGCGAAAGAAAATATTTGCGATCTACCAAAATATAAAGTGAAAAAACTTGTTAATAAATAGGTAGTTTTCAAGGACAAGGAGACAACTCTTCTTGTTAAATGTATTATTGTTTACTTGTTTCTTTATTCCTGCCATTCTGTTTCTTGAATGTTATCAAGTGGACTAAAAGACATTGGTGTGGCATTGATATTTAATGCAGCAAGTAGAATGGTATTGATATATAAAGAAGTATATCTCTGATGGTATGCCTTAAATTTTTCTTCAATCAGTTTTTAATTAGAAGCTAAATTTTCGATATTCCTCAATAGTTGTAAGCGATGCATGATCAGATTACAAATATTTTTAATAGGAGAGAGATTTGGAGTTCTGACTGGCCGACAAAGGAAATCGCAAGACATTCACTTGAATAGCATGCCGTGTGTGGCTGGGAATATTCTTTGTTGAACAATATGCTATCCTGAGTGCTGAGAAAAAAACATGTCTCGGAATTTTGTCAACGTATCGCTGTGTTGTGAGGGTGTTATATACTTCTACTAAAGTATGCTGCTGTCAAAAGAAATGACATATCGATTCATCGATCCATAACTCTATGGCTCAAAAACAGGTAACTGTTGTTTTCACTTGCAGTATTCGAAAGTAAAAGCCAGAGTTCATAATAGCCAGAATGTCTCGATACACGCCTATGCGGGTTGCCAAGACACAGATCAGAAGGGGACTGAATCTTCACTGAATACGATTCATTTCCAATCAGAACAATTCCATATTAATCCAGCTCTGAACCACTACAATTTCTATTGACGATGCCTATGGATCAGTGACCTCTGGCGTGTTGAGCATCGTGAGCGTAAATCCCATTGGTTTGATTGTCTAGGAATGGTCTTGATTGTCACTTTAGTATTTGTCACATGTTACAGTCGTTTGCAAAAGTTTAAGACCACTTCTTTCCAGTATTTTACACATTTCATCATTTGCGTAGATTATTACATCATCTCTTGTGTTGATTGTATCAGATGCATTCTGCTGGTATATATAAATGTTTGTGCACGGTTTATCGGCAGTTGTTGACTCGATTTTGCATAGATTGTACTGAAATTATTATAATGGGTAAGAAACCTTCACTGACTGTTGCAAAACAGAGAAAAATGTTGCCCTTGCATAAAGTGGGTTTTTATGAACATCAAATAAGTTCTAGAGTAAACGAGCAAAACACGTGTTTATCAAGCTATTAGTAAACTTAAAAATTGTCGAGAAATCACTGACCGAATAAAGAGTGATCACTTCAGAAATACCTTTTCACATGATGACCATGTGATAAGAAACCTTTTTTGTACGATCACCAAGATGCTTCAGCAATAAAATTCCATTAGATGTGCTTTTTCAACGTGTTATCGTAAACTTTTGCGAACGACTGTATATAATCGATAGTGATGGCTTTGGGGCTGTTACAGCTGCTCAAATAACAGTGCCATCGTTCTATTCTATCGTCTCTCTAGACAAGCCGTTGCCTGCTTTTCGTTGGACTTGGTCATGCATAAGAGCATTGTCTAATTGCAGCGTCACTCCGATTGAAATGATAGGCGATATGTCAATCTTTTACTATGATAAGTCTTCTTTCAATGTCAGTTATATACAGTAGTTGTACTAAGCATGAATTCGATGGCAAAGCATTGTTCAGAAACTTTGACGATCAGCACAATCAGACACCAGTACAAGTTGTTCTTTAGATTCGGATATGTATAGCAAGTCTATTTTGGATATTAATTTAATCTTAAAATAATTCGAATTTCTTTATAATAGTATTTTCGATATCTAGTATGGCGTTATGTTACCAGTAACTTGAATTTGTTGGGAAAGTCATGTGTCACAAACAAGTTCGGAGAAAGTTCTCATTGAAGAAATTCCTATTACGTGATATTCTCAACTTGTAGGTGCTACTACTCACATAACAAAAAAATCTTTAATAAACGGTGACTAAAAAATTCCGGTTTATCGACTTTATTTTACAGGGTGTCAGGTTATTAGCATGTTATGGTACATTCAATTGTCATACGATATATACTGTAAAAATAATTAATTTTAAATTTGTTAACATTTGTCATGAATTAATTTTTAGTCTGTAATTATTTTTGATTTATGACGTTTAAGATTAGTTTTGCTTGTTTGTTGTTTTAAAAGGCAACCGAACCAACGTTGAATGGGATATCTTTAAAAATGCAACCTGGAGAATTATTACTTGTTGTCGGTCACGTTGGATCAGGAAAGGTAATATCTTGATTTTTCAATTTATTTTAAATTACATGCTTTACGATTTAACGACCGTTTGAAAAATTACATAAAACGTAACCATTTATCAGTTTATAATAAAATGACTTAAAATTTTAATACTTGATTTTGTTATTTAAGATATTTTATACTTTTTTGATTTTAGTTTTATTNACATGCCATAGTTTAATTTAAAAAGTTAAATTATTAGAAAGTAGAAATGATGTATTTGGATTTTATATTTTAATTGGTTTCTGTTAAACAATAATTATTATAACAGTGCAAAATGTGTATTAATAGTGCAATGTGTAGTAGTAGTGGTAATAGTAATAGTCAGGAAAGGTAATATCTTGATTTTTCAATTTATTTTAAATTACATGCTTTACGATTTAACGACCGTTTGAAAAATTACAAAAAACGTAACCATTTATCAGTTTATAATACAAAGACTTCAAATTTTAATACTTGATTTTGTTATTTAAGATATTTTATCCTTTTTTGATTTTAGTTTTATTTGATTTGAATTCATAAACATAAAAAATATATGTTCTGTAGAGTTTTTAGGCAAAATGGCAGGTATTATATACAACTTGTGTCAGAATAGAAAAATCGTCAGATAATTGTTTATATTTGACTTACTTAATGGTTGTGTGCATAATCCGTTATGAAATCGTTCATCTTGGTTGTTATGCGTTAAAATAAACTGACTGAATGAAGAGAAATTATGATATACAATCTGATTATAGACGTTTATAATTACGTGTTCGAGTCATTGCTCATCTAACATCTCCAAATAAATATAAATATTTATTTTAAAATATAAATACAATAATTCTTTATTACTTTTCTTCGTCATGAAACTGATAAATAATTCTATATCTACAAGTTATTCTTATTGTATATTAACCAAGAAGATTTTAACAATTGATTTTAGACATTTTTGCATAACAACTGAATTCTTTATTATTTAATATTTGTACGCCCCTCTACGAAAGTTTATTTGTAAATAAAATTTTGTTGATTCACATGCCTTTGTGTCTTTATTATACAGTTTACTTTATAATTATCTACTGAGACAATTCTATTAGAAGGACTTTATTTTACAAGATCTGGGTTTTGCACATTAAGAAAACTTATTCAGAAAAAACAAACAGTCTTTATTTTTCACCTGTTTCACCTGTACACAATCAGCCGATTGCAGAAACAGAGTTTACGTTACAGGACGTTAGCTGGCTGGACCGTCGTTTAAAATGAGTTGCAAAGACGACGATCGTCTATTTCTGAACGCCAGCTAAACGAATCACGGCAACAAAGTGTTGGCTCTTACATTTTTTACAGCTACTTCCCTGTCTCAGGAGTCGTTTATTTAATCGGGTCATTCGTTTATGACGTCAGAAAAACGGCGACAAACAAAGTGTTCAAATCATGCCAGAATTTTTTCGAAAAAGATTAAAGTGTCCTCTACTAAGTTATAATAATTTATCCTGTAGTTCAGGAAATATGTTAGGGGAGTAAAAAGCTACATGAGATTATACATAACGAATTTTTTTCGTTGTTTTCTTGTGTGTCTGCTCGCAGCCAAACCTCATTCTTATTATAAACGCCTCTATCAATATAAAAATGCTTTTTACATTTATTTAACGGTAGTTTGATACCTGCATACAGTAGAGACGTGAACTCTGATAAGATCACCGGCTAACCTCTGGAAGCTTCCATTGCCATAAAATTGAAATATTGTCCACTGTTGTTCAGTAGTTAAATAATAACAATCTTCTTTCATTTAGATGCTTAATTTCGTCGTCAATACAATAAAAAAATACAAACAAGTCCAGATTTAAAAAATTTATACCGAATTCGAAATTCATTTTCAGAATATATTTCTAAAAAATTATTTCGATCTCGATCCCTTTCTCTGTTCGTAATTGTCGAGATGAATAATTTTCTTGATTCGTCTCGTTTACATGAAAAATATCCATTGTAGCATAAACTTTTCCACCAAGAAATGAATATGGCAACTTCTACTCAAATAAAATAGTGTATAAAGCTGCTATCAATGGAGTTCAAAAAGTAAATAAAATAACTTGTTTCTAATCGCTGTTTAAACTGTGGAAAGCGAAAAACGTCGTCTGTGCAATAAAAGTTTTTTGAACCGCAGTCTACACGATCTCTTCTGCTGTCGGCGTTTAAACGTTATCTCTGCAGTCGGCTGACTATGTTTGTGTTTTGGACCTCTTGGTCCCTCATAAGTAGGTTTACAGCCACTAGGTGCTAAAACAAGATTTTATAAAATTACAAAAATTTCATAACTTTAAGCCAATGGACCAAGTGGTCCGAAACACAAACATAGTGTGTACTGGTGAAAGAAGTGAAAAATAACGACTGTCTTTTCAATAAGTTTCCTCAATTTGCAGCACCTGGACAACAGTATAATACGTCCTACTGCTAATACGATAAGTCCCAGTAGACACTTATATAATAAAATTTTATTGATTAATTAATTAATTAATTAATGTAATTTGTCAGTTTTTCTTATGAATTGACAGAATATGTTTTATTATCCATTGCATTTTATGTGCTGATAAAGAAAAGCAATTGATAATTAAAATAATATCCTTATAATAATACGTAAATATTTCTAAAATATTTATATAATTATATTATTTATGCAAAACATTTCGTATCAAATAATTAAATGACATTAATTTGGTTAGACGTCTTTACTAATGTCCTTGTTGGGAGAGATTCCAATTACTTCTGGTGAAGTGTCCGTGAAAGGAAAGATCTCGTATGCTTCTCAAGAAGCTTGGGTATTCAACGCAACTGTCAGAGAAAATATCTTGTTCGGAGAAGAATATCACGAAGAGAAATATAGAAAAGTCTTGCATATTACTGCATTAGAAAAGGTAAGATAATTTTTGCATTTATTATTAAATCTTTTGCATACTTATGTCGGTTCTAGACGAAAATTTGTTTATCCACTGCAAGGCGATACGGAAATGATCTATTATGTATCACATCACGATTACGTTACAAGCCAATTGTATCGCGTTTTTTCTTAGAAACATGCCATAGTTTAATTTAAAAAGTTAAATTATTAGAAAGTAGAAATGATGTATTTGGATTTTATATTTTAATTGGTTTCTGTTAAACAATAATTATTATAACAGTGCAATATGTGTATTAATAGTGCAATGTGTAGTAGTAGTGGTAATAGTAATAGTAGTAGTAGTGGTGGTGGTGGTGGCGGTAGTGGTAGTCCTTCCAATGCTAAGTAGCATACTAAGACAGCAATTATCTTCCATCGATTTCTATCATAGGCGAGGACTCAGCTTCCTCCCAGACATATAGAGTATCTTCTAATATTGATGAAAAGTTTTACACAAAGTATTCCTAGGGACCCCCCAGGAATACTTGGCATCAGGGAAAGCCATTTCATCATTTCATCGCTGTCTTGCGGAGCCTATTGTTCTCCAAACAAAAAATTTGGCTGGAAAGTCAGATTCTTCTATGAGCGACAAAGTTATGAAGTTTGCACATTTCACTCTTTCGAAGAACCTGTTCATTGATGTTGTGATCTAAATATTAATGAACTTTACTTCGTTTAAACTGATGCCAATTTTCTGTCTCTTCTGACCTAATGCGTGATGTAGCATTGTCTCACTTTTTTCTAACAAGGTAATATCGTCAGCAAAAACTAAATTTTCCAGACAGTCCTAATCAGACCACTCTCAGACCCAATGCGCGTACCGGACTCTTCTTCCTGCTGCATGACTTAATCAAGGGCAATGAGGGAAATAAAAAGGAACAGGACACTACCCTGCCTGACACCTCTTATAATTTCAAAGAAGTCTGTTTTTCACCACTTTCTGTCTTGACGCAACAACTTGAATGCAGGTAGAGCCTTTGAAAATGGTGAAAATGTTTTTCGGTACACTATATAGTTGCAGGATCTGTTAGAGGGACTCGTAGTGAACACTGTCAAAAGCCTTTGTGAAATCAAGGAAATTGATGGAAAATGGATCCGATATTCAATGCATTGTTTGATGATATTTCCAATGTAGAAGATTTGCCGCTGTACGATCTTCTGCAGCAGAGCCCAACTTGCTCCTCTTCGAATCGTTGATCGACGGAAATCCGCAGGCGTCGAAAGAAGACCACACAATATGCCTTTCCAGGCACAGAAAGCAGGCTGATATATTTCCAGTTACTACACTCGAAGATATCTATATCTTTTCTCTTAGGAATTCTGACTATAACGATCCTCTGAAACTTTCCCACAATACCAGCCTCTGTTAAACAATAACGCTAGCTTTTCCAACATGGACTGCCCTTTCATGCTGCAAAACCTCAGCCATAATTTTGTCAGAATCGGTTGCACTTCTATTCTATTCTTTAGACTCTTAATCGCAAGTACAGTACTACTTTCTCAAGGGTAATATCATCAGTGTCCACCTGAAGCTCATCCTGTGTATCTTCAATATCGAAATAACGTATGATGGTCGGTTTCGCATGATTAAATGATTTCTGAAAATCTTCTATCCACCTTTTGTTCTGCTCATCTTGGGCCATCAGAAGCATCCCGTTTTTGTGTTTTATTAGAATGCCGGGTTATTTTTCATCGCAGTCAGTTCATTGACTATGCGGTACAGTCTTTGAGTCATTCCAGTCAGAAACCAACTGCGCTTCAGCGCCCTTTCGTTTTAGTCATTCCCTCTTGTCTTTCTGACAGCTTTTCTTTACACGTCTATCTAACTCGGAATCTTTGGCTTTCTTCCTTCATCTCACTGATTGTTTTAGGCTGGTCTTTTTAAAGCTTTGCATCTTTTCTCTCATTAATCAACATCCACGAGCGATCTTAGATCCACTGATCATTTTCGTCCTCTACATCTTTCAATAATGTTTTGGGTGCACTCCATGGTAATGTCTCTAAGTTTTCCGCAGAGATCTACGTAGTATATCTGTTACCTCTCAAAGAAGAGGAAAAATATTGTGCTTTTTCAAAGTAAATGCTTCGGCAATGATTACATCATTTAATAATTGGATCATAATTTTTATTTTGCTGAATGTCCTTTTAGCATGAACTGCTTTTAATTACAATGTTTGAGCTTAATTTGGTCATGGTCATATCTAATATCTGCACTTCTGTAAGTCCAGCACATCGTGCAATGATGACCTCCAACATTTACTAATACAAGTAAAGTCTGTTTCATTAAAACTGCTCTGTCTGGTGACAGCCAGGTTTTCTTATGGATTAGCCAATGCACGAAGTAAATGTTTTTAACACATAACCTGTAATGTTCACAAACGATGTTTGCCTTTCTCTGTTGTCACTCATATATACAGAGATGCACTAGCACCAATTACAGTCTCAAGTCTTCGACGATCACCGCCCAATTGAACATTCAAATCTCTGATCAGTACCCTAATATCATGATTCGGGAGGATACTGTCTTGGAGCTGCTCATAAAATTCATCTTCTATGATGTTCTTAGCATCATTGGTTGGCGCATAACCTACACCACAGTCGCTTTGGCATGTTTATAGATAAACCGAACGGTTATAATACGATTACTGAAGGGCCTCTACCAAATTAGTGCTTTTGTCATTCGTTTACTCAGAATAAGACCTACTGCACGTTTGTGCCACTCTACATAGTTCATGTGCAGAATGGCCTTGCCATCACTACTGATTCAGCCGTTTGTCGTTCATCTATCTGCATTGACGCCAAGTATATCAAACCGGTTTTCTATCAAATGTCTGTAGTAGCTAAGCGAGTCTTCCACTTTGATATAGAGTACGCCCACTTCCCGTTTCAATTTTCGTAATATTTCTGGCAGAAAAGATCGTTTCGAATTCCGTTTGCCAGTTTCATCTGACGCTGTCATATTACTTCGAGCAAAACTTCCGCTTATTCAATAGAAATTTTTATTTATTTTTGCTGTTTCCTTAACACTTATAATTTTTACAGGGACGGGTTGCTAACCCAAGAAATACTCTTTGCCTCTAGGCTAAAACAGTTAGGACTTTTAGCTAATTAAGCCAAAAATTTTAACCGTTTATTTAAACGTTCTAATGCAATGTAATGATTTAGTAATGTATACTAAATAATAATCATTAGTAATTATAAAATGAAAAGTAAAATTTTGTTTCAGCATTAATTCTTTTTCTGCATTAACAACAATTCTGTTTTTGTGTAATTTTAGTGTAAATAATAAAATTTTGTTACAATATAATAAAAACGATGTTTAAAACTACGAAACACCTACTGCAGGCATTGTCAACGTCTAATGAATTTATTCACCCTCGATTAATCTTTCAATATTAGCTAGTTAAGTCCGAATATCTTGACGAAAAATTTTGACGCCAAAAAAAGTCAACTATTAACTGTGCCTTTAAAGTTAATGCTTCATTACAAAAGTCTTCAGCACAGTTTAGAATGTTGATAATGAATGAAAATGAATGTATCTTTAATGTCTATGTTCAATTTAGTCTTTACAGGGTGACACCACAATGAGATCTCGTACCACCTCAAAATCTTGCTAGGGCAGCCTCTAGTCGTCCCGTAAAAAAATTTTCGTTCCAATTCAGCCCGGAAGAAAAAACTGTTGGCCACCCTTGACCTACTGTATATTACCTACCATATTACAAAAAAAACGAAATGATTTGGAATTGTCACAATGCAGGGAATCTATAAAATTTTGTTACACAACTATGCAACTCTCTTACAACACGAAGCATTTATAGTGATTAAAAGTGAAAAGTTTTCTTTATGTCTTTATACCTGTAAACGATATTATCCTGTTTTATTTTTAAACAACAGTTCGGTAATACGTTGAAGATGATTTTAATGCATTTTCTTAAAAAATACTATTAGTACAATAAAATATTTTAGTGCATTAAAAAACCAGAGTTAGGAAAGCAAGAGATTTTTAACAGAAGATTAACCATAGGAATAAAGCAGGGCTGTGGAGTCGCGTAAAAATCTACCGACTCCTACTCCGACTCCGATCAGAAGCGGACTTCTTACCGAAAGAGACCCGGAAATGATGTCATCACGTGACCTCAAAATAAAATATTCAATAAATAGAATTCTAATAAAGATAAAACGTAGAAACTTTTTATTCCAAATCTAGAAGACTCCTCTAAGTAATATATAAATATGTATTCGATAACTTTTGCTTTTCCGGCTGTTATATGTAACAGAGGATAAGTCTAGCACTCTGTCAAAAAATGACCCTTTCCAAATTTTTACATTTTTGGACTCAGGACACTTTGAAATTTCGAGATATGCAAAAGATTCGAGGTTTTTTTCTATGTGTGAGGCATGATTTTGTTTACTCTGTTTAAAGCCTAATAATTTCTGTAGTCAGAGTGGTTGGAATCAGAGTCAATTATTAAGCGTCAATGTGGTTGAACTACATCGTGTCCCCATATACGTTCTATCATCTTAACGGGTTTTACTGTACTATTATAAAATGACAAAAAAGCTTACTTTAAAGGTAGATACGAATTTTATTATTTTTATTTTTTTATTTTTGAACACTAATAACGAGTAAAATATTCATTAAGAGATATGACACATGACCACATTCATGTCTTCACTTTGTCAACTTTTAATTAAAAACCAAAATTTAATAATATCAATGCCCCTTTATATGCAAGGTACAGTGCAACATTTTGGGTTGGCAGTTAGTCTTGGAAGTGAGAGGTCATGCTTTTGTGCACTTCTCTTTTTTGGGGGCTTTTTAGTGGTTTACCGCTGTTTGGTGAGTGTTTTTTATATATGGTTTTGTTGATTAAGTTATTCTGAGCATTTCGTTGGTTATTTGATTAATTTCTGTTAATTATTTGCGAAGCTACCAGAGTTTAAAGCTATTAACTTTAAACAAAGGCAGCTAAGCCT